CAGGAAATAAAAAAAAAAAAAATTAAACCTAGAAATACTGGATCACAGTATTTTTCTAGACAGAGAATGCATGCAAACTTGGTGTGCAGGTCTTCTAAATGGTAGCAGCACTGAAGCTACAGCATGACCCCAGAAGGAGCTGATCATCTAGGTCAGTAAGGTAGTGCACTAAGCATTTAAAAATAAATTAATTTTCCCCACAGGCAAACTACAGTTAGCTATAGCAGCTCTTCGTTGGATTTCCATTATAATATCAGGTACTAATTGGTAAGACACAAGTAGTATACTTAGACCTGATTTGATACGGTACAGCAATTCCTAAGTTTCCTAGAAATGTTGAAATTAAGAGAGACTATCAAAAATACATAAAAATAAATCCTTCTATAGATACACAAAAGAAGCTAGTTCAACACTGTATTCACTGTTGTTTGTGACACTCCCAAAATGCCAAGCCCCCAAAGAAATGAATAGAGCCATAAGAATAATATTTTTAATTAATATTAATACAGAAAGAGCACATTCCTTTCCAAGTGGCAGCTAATTCCACGCTACCATTAGGGGAGGAAAAAAGTTAAGGCTATTTGAGGGCAACCTGACACAATGGTTTGTTTCCCTAACTCATTCTTGGAGCCAGCCATGTAAGTTTAAGAGACTATTTGTGCACAAAACATGGGATGTTTATTTAGCAAAACATCAAGAACAGAGAAAAACATGCTTTATTACAGTGGTAAAAATACACAAAGCTTTCAAGCTGTTTTTTACACCAACTCAGTTCTGAAACCATAAAATTCCAGTTTGCAGCATGTTGTGCCTTTGTATTGTATTAAACAGGCTATCGTTATGATGATGACCACGTTCATCTATTCAGTGGAGTATAAAGTGCACAAGAAAAATAAGTGGATTGAAATAAACCATTTATGAGTAATTCCTGTTACCCGTAGTACTTGCTTAAAATGGAAATCTCACAGGCTGTTTAGTAAAACACAGTACTACATTTTTCAAGAGCACAGAATCAGTGTCACAGATACTAGAAAGACCTTTACTAAACATACAGATTTTTGTAGGTTGTGGTTTGGTTTTGTGGTTTTTTTTGCTCCAATTATCTCCCACACCAAAAGGCAAGCATTCTGATGTAGCTTACTGTGGGCTTGGGGTTGGTTTGGGGATTTTTGTTTTAGTAATGTGTAAGGCATCACCCTTAACAAATACCTTTTCTCTTTACCCTCTGTTCAAATTAAGCAAGCATTTAGTGGCACAGTGATTTGTTCAATTTTCTACTGATATGGGCTACTCTTTCTAAAAATGATTAGCAGAGTAGGGGCTGAGAGTTGTATAGGGGTGCAGTTTTTCTCCCCACTTATGAAAGTTTATGTATTATGAACCTTCACGTTTTTTTACTGGTTGTCAAGAACCATATTTTCTATGCATTTTCCCACTCACAGGTTAAGGCCATGGTTAGCAATATTTAAGAGCTGAACCATGAAGCAATATCGATCATCTAAGTGCTATTAATTTATGGGCACATTCACCATTTTTAAAAAAAAAAAAGAAAAAAAAAAGGAAAAAAAAAAAAAGAAAAAAAAAGAGAACTGATCGGGAGGTTCCCAAATACATTAAACACACAAAAGTTGGGTGCTTGGTCACTGGAATCTTTGGGCATTACATTTAACAGCAGCAGATGCTTTAAATTGCAGGCTGTTTCTACAAATAGCTTACTCAATTCCCCTACAATATATCCTCAAGGCTAAAACCAGTTTCTCACCTTGTATAGAAGTTATTTAACAATTTTCCTTTCATAGTGAAACCACTTTTCTGTCTGTATACTCCTTTCTGAGAAAGGAAATAAAAATCGGGGTTAGTTTCCATAACATTTCATTTACATTGCCAGATTATCTTCAATCCAATGCAGTACACCATAAAGAATATTTTTTTTGGATTAAAAGAAGACTCACTTGTCAAAACCAACACTTTTTTTTTTTTTTTTTTTTAATGCTATAGAAGACATCTGTCCTCTTAATTGATAAGCAATAAACTAACCATGTAATCATATACTGTTTGCAAAACTATTTACTGTTTTGCAGTAATATCAAGTAGTACAAAATGCAGGCTGTAAAGTACTGCCTGCATTTCAAAACACAGTATTTGTTACCAAGAAGCATGCACAATAATGCCTTTAAACTCCCTCAGTTTTTGCTGTATGTTCTCTGTGTGTACCACAGTAAGAGTTCACACAACTTCTTGTCCATTTCCAGTCAAAGGCCACAAGACTGGAGGCAAGAAGCCAAGCAGTTCATTTACACCCATCTAGTTTTATTCACTTCTGCTAATAGAATATGCATCCTGAAAAAAAGGGATTCTTGGATATTTGCAGTTGTGAAAAAGAGTCGTTATTTTGCTACAAGATTCTTCATCTAGAAAACTTTAATATGGTTGCCAAGTCCAAGTCTTTCCTCTGGCCATAGCAGTTCCACAGCTGTTCTCCGAGTTCAGACAGGAAGAGGTAAGGTAACTCTAACTTTAGGCAGTATGTAATATATGTGAAGGGCAGGGGTGGGGTGGGGCAGGAAGGGAGGAAGATGGCACAAGTGGAACACATATGAAAGTTAATGCCTTGGGAAAACTAGAAAATAAATCCAGGGCTAGTGGAGAGAAAGAATCCAGACATTCATATTGGTCTCATTGGTACATAGGTTTGTGCTTGTTCACTTTGTAAAGCCTTGACGTTTGCTCCTTGTTCAGAAGGGGGCACTGCTTGCAACTACTTGCAGGTTGAGAGTCACGATGGGGTTAGGGGATGAAGGTATCAAACAAGGTTTCAAACTTCGTAGAGAGCAAGTTGAGCATCTGTTGTATTATTATTGCCTTCATTTTTGCAAGCCCCCTCTTGCCTTTGCTTTGCAAACAGCTCTATTTAAAAAACATCACTTGAGGTACCCGGAGGCTGTGGCCAGACGTCATCTTCAATATGCAGCCAAGGGTGGGTTATCATACCTTCTGCTCAGATTATGTAAGTGTTCTCGAGCCCATTTTAATAAATACAAGCTGCCTAGCCAAGACCTATAACTAGTCTTTTTACCTTATATTGCCTATGGCATCTTTGTTGACACATCTGAGCATCTGCAGCTGCTGTCCCAGAGCAGGATAGTATGTAGCCAAGGAAGAGCCAATGGACAATAACCCATCCATCGACAGATGGTTACAGAATCCATCACCTAAAGCCTCACTAAAATTTTTCAGGAGAGTTCAAGAGCTCGTAGTAGTACTGAAATTAAAGAAACAGAGTTTTGCCAAGGAGCGCAGACTAGGTAAGTAAGGCAAGGGAACATAGAAGCCAGGAAACTTATTAGACGCAAAAGCAAGTGACACTTCCAGTAACTTTCTTGCTCTTGAGAGTGAAAAATTAGAGCACACTTCATGCAGCAGCTAATAGAACAGATCAACTCTCTCAGCACCCCTTGCTTTAGACAGGTTAGTCCTTCAAGCATAATTTTCAAATCTCTCTCTAGTACTGTTCAGTGGTAAAGCGTGTCCCAAAGAAAGATTTTAGGTTTTCCAAGAAGAACAAAGTAACCACATTTTCTACAATATGGGATCAGTCTCCATTGTCTTTAAAACAGTGGCTTTTTCAAAGTGGCTTTTCCTCCATTATATTTTGTGACCTTCCTTCTATAGACTTGATCCCCAAAAGGAAGTTTTCAATATAAAACATGTTAGAGTTGAAAATGTACAGCTCATATGTATGCAATTTGTACAACCAGATTTTACTGTATCTGTACAGTTGCATGTTTGCTAGTCAGTGTAGACAGAAGTAGCTAAAAAGCAACTAAAACAACAGTATTTCATTGCAAACAGGAACCAACAAAGTATATTATTTTACATCAGCACAGGTTTTGCAGCTTTTCAAGTTAGTTTTCATTAGGTACTTGGTATACAGTAAAACTCTGATCTACTTTTATTTATAGTTTCATCTTTCCAAGCAGAGATTTTTAATATTCATTAGTAATCCTGAAATGAAGAGTCAGATGTATAACATATTCCCAGGTAGTAGCCTAATGTACTGTAGAAAAGTCAGTTTTGTTTTACCAAGGACTAGAATCCACTTCAGTAACATTCCCTGAGGCAATCCACTATTTTATTGTTTTGTCCTCGAATCATTTGTGTATAGTTGCTGTTCTGATCCAGACTGCTTTGTTTCTTTAAAAACAGACACTTACTTAGAAAAAGACATCTGTTAACTTTCATTGCTAATTTTGTATTTCAGCAATTATGTTTCCCCTTAATACCCTTTTCTCCTCCTCTTTTCCTTCTCCAAAAATCACAAGTTAACAGATAGCAAATCTGTGTGCTTGATTTTCACAAGATAGGAATTCAGATCTTTAAATAAACATTAATTTTTGAAGATGCAAATGTGTGAACTGAAAAGAATGTAGTAGACAGACAACAGAACAGAATTAATATGCGATGAACATTCTAAAATTTATTTTACCGAAACTGAAGTTAGTCTCTCTTCAAGAGAGAGACTCTATGGTGCTAAAAAGATCAATGGTGGGGAGAAGTGGTGGGTGTAGAGGGTAAAGGAACACAAGAGAATCATCATCCTTGGTCCACAGAAACGCACTGAGCAAGAACACTGTGTGTCTTTACATTCTCAATGGACTAAGGAGGTTTCTCCTGATATAATTCCACCTTTAACACTTCAAAAAAGCCTGTGTATAATCAATGCACTTAAAGCTTTAAGTTTTAGTAACTTCACTTAGACTTTGTTTATAAAACAAACACACACAAGCACACTTCCCAGAGTGCAAAATGCTTAAATACTTCAATGACAGAACTCCACGTGTAGTTTTTGGAACAGTAATCCTTTTGCTCTCAGAGTCAACGTCTTCCTTGTCATCGCATCCATTGCCAGCAACGGTTGCATTAAAACTAACCAAAAAAATGCAGCAAATGCAACAGTAGATAACTCTATACTGTTTCTTCAGTTTTCCAGAGGACATTGTTCATTTGTATAAACTCATCGTTGGACTTTGATACATGCACATGTAAGCATCACAAAGTAGTCTTCGTGCACAACCTTGAATTTTTCTGGAATCCAGTGAGTGTAATTCTTCTAGAGACATCTTCAGGTATTCACCAACTTCTGGACATGGGGTAACTTGTGGAATGTTAAAGCCATTCTGACCTCCTTTTAACCATAAGGAAAGAAAGAGAAACAGATTACAATAGCATCTACATATATTTACTCTTTATAATGTGCTTTAGTTATGACAGCATCACCAGTTCTTGAAAATGCCTTCTAAAAAAACCTAAATACGCCATTCTGGACTACTGCAGGGTAAACTTTTCATGTAAGTGTATTGTTCAAGAAAAATAGCAATCCATTTCTGAATATCTCGTAGTGTTACTAACAAGCAAATACCCACACAAACACCACACAAAAACCCCACCAGAACGACAACTTTGGGAGAGTGACCTGAATACATACTCCACCTCAAATGCTACTGAATTTGTTAACAACATGAAAACTGGCAACAGTTGATGAATTTCTAAACCATGAGTGTCTGTACCTGACTTGCAAGACTAAAGCAGAGTTTGCTCCTGGCCATTTTCCATGCAAAAAAAAGAAAAAATTCAAACAACAGAAGTATGGGCATCCATGACACTGGTCCCCAGAAGATATTTTTAGCTTATAGCACCAGCTGAAGAAAAATACTTGTGATACAAAAAAAACCTAAGATCAGCAGGAGATACATCTAGTATCTCATGTGATCTACAGTCCTAAAATAAAGTGGTTCTTCACAGACTTCAGTCGTACACATTTCAAGCACTGAAAGAAAGCTTGATTGCCTTCTGATTGTTATAAGAAAGAGACTTTAGTCCTGTGGCAGTTTCATTTTCAACAGGAGGCAAGATTCTTCTCCCCCCGTCCCCCAAATCACACTGTAACAGAGGGGTTCAAGAATTCTTCATGCAAAGAACTGTTACTATGAATCTGACACTTGCGTCTATTTCTGTTTTTCTCAGGCACCAGAATTGAACAGAGTGTCCTTATTTAAACACTATTTAATGCAGCAGTATCTACAAGAACACTTGTTTTACTGACATTTGTATTATTACAGGGTAACAGTTTTCCACTGATAACTCTAAAGAGATTTAAAGGGACAGCATAGATGTTGTAATGTGTGACTATTTCTTTTATTCTAAAGATACCTACACTAAGTCACTTAAGCAAAAGCAATAAAAATATTTGCATAGTATTTGATAATTGTGTACATCCACTTAAATAAGGACTGAAAGAACACATTGCTGCAGTTGATTATTTAAAATTACTTCTCTCTGCCAAACTTGCAAAGTATAGAAAAATGTATAAGGAGTCCCGCTAGAAAACTTCTGCAGTTACTTCTGTACCATCTACCTACTAAGGCATCCAATCTAGTTGAAATTCAGACTATGCAAATCAGTAGCTGCTATGAAATCAATGTGCTGAGGTAAGGCTGGGTCAAGATTAGTGTCCCAGCATCAAGTACTTCAAGTTAAACAATATCCCCAAAACGTTAAGAAATAGCCACCAAAATTTAAAACGTAAAAAAATTAAGAGAAAATTAATAAGAATAAATAAAAGATCTACCATCCCGATCTGCCATGCTGTCAAAGAAAAGCCAGGCGGAGTCATCCCTCCCGTATTTAACAAAAGCTACATAGTGGCTTGTTTCTATGCAGAGAACAGCAAACAACTCCATCTTCTGGTACGGGATGCAGCCATGTCGCCAATCCCAGTCTGGCAGATCTTTAGGTAGTGACAATGGATTGAATTTATGACTCTGTCTCTTGGGATGAAGATGAACCTACAATTGAAGTGATATTTCAGAAGAGAAAAAACACCCCATAAGATTATTTGTTTCAGTGGCAGACAAAGCTAAAAAGAACATTACTCCTGAACTGAAGATTAATGGCATTAGAGGAGGAACTGCAATAACAGCAGCAGACTAAACGTTTCTTCTATTTTTCCCCACCAGTGTAGTTCAATATTGCCCAGAAAATTCAAGTCTAAGGTTAGAAGGGAGGTCAGATTTAATGCAACAATTTTCTACGATGCTCAGACTTGAAAACAAGCTGTGACTAGGACAGCTTCATGCAAGTTACCAAACAGCTCTCAAAATTAAACAGTTCTATGTCATGAATTTATCAAGTCAAACAAAGTAGGATGTATGTAAAATTAGGATTTAAAGCAGGCAGCTTGGAATCTGTTTCCTGTTGCCTACGATTACTACTTCTCCACTGTATTCAGTCCTGGATTTGGCAGCTGCCATGTTTTTAGTAAGAAACTGTTGATGAGTACACTGCAGAGTCAAGTGGAGTTCCTCATTTGTCACCGAAGACTATACTTGGTGGGTGCAGTTACACTAGTGCCGGTGAGAAAGTCTCACTACACCCTTATGCCTTTCTGTCGATTAATACAGCACACACTATTTGGGTTAAACCCACGTAGAATAACAAAGACAACAGCTTACTTGCGTATTGCAGGTTTTGCAGAATTGTTTGATTTTCCCAGCAGAAATATCAGTATCTTCATAACATTCTCTGCACTCATACATAGCAAGCCCTCCACATATACGGCACTGCCTGGGAGCTGCATTTTTAAAGAAGGTATTAGTCTCCAATTTGGGGAGGCTTTTCTTGGTTTTTTTTTTTAAGATGACGGGTATGGAAAGGAGGGAGGATTACTACTTTAAATGGAGAAAAACACTACATTAAAAAAGCTAAAACAAGATTGCCAACGAAAGCAGAAATGTACCACTCTATTTAACTTCTTCCCTTTGACATAATGTGGAATAAGAGAAAAAGGGTTAGAGTGGTAAGTTGCAAAACGGAAGATGATAAAAATTAAGTTTTATCAACTGCATGAACAAGGAAAAACAGGCTTTTAAATTGAGTTAGTTCTCTCTTGTCATATTGGTGCAGTTAGTTTAGCCCCTATGTCTGTTGACACCAGAAAAAAAAATTTTAAAAATAGCATAAGCTGGTGGCCATGACAGTAAAAGAAAAGGCCGTGACAGTTTCAGTTAGACACTCTCAACAACTCTCTTTTATTACACAATGCTATGTTGTATACTTACTATCTTCAAGTAAGTCTGTTATATTTAATTCCAAGGATGGAAAAATTTTGTTGAACATTTTGAAGTCTTTTCCAAACCGAGGCATCTGGATAATCAGACAAGAGGGTGCCTAGGTAAAATGCCAGAATATAATAAGCTTGAGATAGATAATTACCTAAATTTAGAGACATTCTTCTAATGCTATAAACATATTCATGTTACTTAAACTTGCAGCCCATTGACTTCAAAATTAACGAGTCGGTAAGCAAACCAAAATTAAGTCTTTGAGAGAAACTACAGCTGAAAAACAAAAGAACAGGAAAGTGGCATCTAAATCATTGTCAAATGTTGTAAGTCCCAGTCATGCTCATGTATGATATTAAATATACTGGACTACACTCCCTCATCCGGGGCGGGGCAGAAAAAAAAAAAAAAAAAATCTTCCCTTTGTAAAGCTTTTTACAAACAGAGGTATCTCAAAATATTAGTCCTTAAGACAACTTACTGTCAGTAACTAAGAAGTTTTCTTTTAGTAATTCTTTACCTAAATTACTTTGGTCTGTTCAGCCAAAAGATACATGTCATTAAGTCAGCCTTAAAATATTTTTGTAATGTAGGCAACCTGTACCACTGACCTAGTACTCCCATTTCCAGCATGTCCGCATTTCGTTTTTGCACCAAATCCCACTTTTGTCCCCTTCCTGAATGGGCAAATATCTAAGTATCATCACTTCTAACAAAGCAACAGCTGTCACCAACCTCTGCAAACTTCAAGTTGCTGTTGATGAATGACCACTCTAGTAACTGCTGAATTGTTGGGACTCCAACTTTCTCATTTTTGTCCATAAAAATTTGATAGAAGTAACAGTCTTGTACTTTCTGACCTGCTGATCTAAAAACAGATTTAAAAAACAGATTCTGAAGCTCTACTGTAACGATGATTGTATTTTACTAGGAAAATAACATCTACCAGAAAATAGTCTATGCGACATACTCTCTGCATTGAAATATATTGTGCTTTAAAAAAAAAAAAAAAAACAAAAAAAACCCAAAAAACAACAACCAGCAACAACACAAAATGTCTTAGATGATAGGCAATCAAGTATTAAGTGCGGACTGATTTTAGAAAACTTATTTAAGAAACAAAAGCAGTATAAGTTTCAGAGTGTGTTTTCAAAACATATGCCTATGCATTAGTGAACTACCAACCGAGAAATACTTCCTAAGCATATGCATCAAAAACTCCAGCACACTAAAGCAGCTTTCATTGGAAAGATAATTAAGAGTTTCAGTAACAAAACATCAAAAGGAACAACAATAATTCTCTTCAGTATGGTTTTCCCAATAAGGAGTTAAAGAAAATGGCTGGGTTTAATGAAACATTTCCTTTTAATCAGGGAGATATTTACACTGCTTCCTGCAGTAGAAGTCTCACATAGATGGCTAGTGTTGCTAGACTTGCTATACAGTTAACAGAGAACTCTCCAAAAGGATGAAATCCCGATTTAAGGGCTGTCCAGCTCTAATTGTTAAGAAGCCTTCCACACCTAGGCAAACATGAAGAAGGCAGGCTACTACATTAACTGCCAATGCTAGCCATTGTAAGTGGTCTGGATAAACTTTTTCATCCTCACAGAAAAAAAAGAAAAAACCTCACCCCACAAACCAACCCCCCCAAAAAAACAAACAACAAGAACCACAAAACCACAACACAATTTTATATGGGTAGGGAGAAGGACAAAGGATTAAGCTACCAATTTAAGTAAGTTTTGATGTCAGATGTTTCAAAACAAATTGAAAATTAAGTACTGATGTTTTCAGGTAATATTTCTGTTACATAAACATAAATCTGATATATTTGGGAAGAGAGCTTCAGATGAGTAATTCAACCTACTCTGGAAGGACATAAGAAAGGATCTAGAAGACACTGCTCACATTGAAGAAATGGATTTTGCTATCATGGAGAAAAAGCATATAGGAGTAGCTGGCCTCCAACAGCAAAAGAAAAAAGTTAGGTAATAGCTGTTTCATCTCAGTGCTACAGTCAAGAATGAGGGCATACATAAATGCCAGTATCTGTTCTTTTGATAAAGTAAGAGAAGCCAAACTTGATGAAGGCAAACCATTGAAATATTTTCATTAGCCTTAAAGAAGAAATGCTAATCAGTTTCCATGGCTTAAACACCGACTCAGCAATTTCTCCAGCTTGTCCCAGAAATAAGTAGCTAGAAGCTGTAGGCCACATTAAGAAGTGCTGTAGGGTCCTCTTACAGCAGCCCTTCTCCAGCATAACTAACAGGAAGACAGTAAAGCTCTCTCCCCCCTAGGACAGGGGATCTTTGTCCAGTTCTCCTGAAACTATGTTCATGAGCTTTTTCAACAAAAGTCTAGCGGGGCAAAAACCACCTACCAAAAAAAGGTAGGAAATAGTGTCAAATTTGTCAATATAACTTTATTACATTGCATCTTATTAGAAATATGAATCACAAGTCAAAGGTGCTTAAGAGCTATCTCAGTTTGAAAGGCAGCGGATACTCTCTCCTCATCAATCTACAAACAGATGAGTTAAAGAAAAAAGATTCACCTTATTTTCAACAGTGGCTCAACTCTTAGAATATGATGAAATAAAATATTCAAAAATTCTTCTGGATCTGGGGAGGGGAGGAAAAAAAAAAAGTCTTGTTAATATGCAAAACCAGATACATTATTCAAGACTGATTTTAAATAAAAGTTTTCAAAATTTTAATAGGAAAAAAGTAAAGGTTCATTTTTACAGCTTTATTAACACAATAAGATTATGACAAACCATGAACATTTTCACGACACAAACCTCTATTTACTCTTTTGGTGTCAAATGGCCTTAATAAAAGATACAGGCTCAACAGGGTAACAAAGCTTTCCAGTAAAGATCAAAAAGATGCTCTGTATTTCAGAAGAATCACTTGGCGCCACACAACTTTTCAGGAGAAATAAAAGCTTTCAAAAGAAAACAGTGAAACTGCAGAGAAGCAGTGAGAAGTAGTGACAGTAACACTTACATAAAAACCACACCATAGTACAAAGTTCATCTAAAGACCAAATTCTCTAATCAAGAATGCAGCCAACACTAGTTTCCCATTCTGCCCAACGCTGAGAGTTTTCTGGTATGTTTCTCTTCCTGCCACTAACTGCAATAAATAACTGGTTTTCAGCATTTAGCATTTACAAAGAAAGTAGTGTTCTCCCAAACAAAAATGAAACAGCTACATAATACCATGCTAATTAATCATTATACGCAGCAGAAGATCAAAAGGTTGGGAATTGATTTTTCCAACATGATTTACACATTTTATTTCTTAATATACTACATAACCATTGTGACAATGAAATGTAGTGGAAAGATTATTCCTCAGGGACCAAAGTGACATTTTGAAAGAGGACAAAGACCCCAGCATTATCACAGTCTTCATTTCTGAGGAAGAGCCTTGGATCTCCCTTAACTGCTAGAAGGGAGTTACGTGGGCACAGGAAGGCAAGAAAAGAAATCCAGTCACTGAAAGACTGGTACAGCAGAAACTGTTAAGCTAGGGTTCCTTACAGACCCAAGGAAGCAGAAAAGACCTTTTTACCACCCAATGGTCACTCAAATCTCTGGTAGAGATATTACTGCTACAGCGTGGTTTGTGTGTTTTGTTCTGGTATAATTATATGGCAAGGTATTTCAGTTCCTTCATACTATGATTCTTAGAAATCTCAAAGAAAGGAAAACCTCCCCAGTTACCTTTTTCCTCTGAAGTGAATCCTGATGCAGCCTCAACTTTTTCAAGTATTTTCCTCAGTTTCATTATTTTTGTAGCACATACATATCCATATCTAAGATAAATGGGTTTAATAAGCTATTAGCTAGTTTGTGATCAAGTCAGAGAAGCAGAAAAAAAAAACCCTCTTAAATGCTGAAACACAGGCTCTCGGATCCTTCTTTAACTGTGTGCAGTATTTCTTCAAAACTATGTAGTGACTCCTCATATTCAATCTGACTTCCAGTTTTTTTAATGCAGTATAAATTTAGTGCAGTGCTCAATGATCTTGCATAACCTTTAAGAGCTCTTTTTAAACATTAACTTACCAGGATAACTGTTTTCTGATTTGTCAGTCAATTACTTTTGATTTGTTTTCACTCTAATTTGCACTGCTTTATACATAATTTTCAGGATATCACGTAATAACAGCACTGTGGGAGTTGTTATTAAAAAAATATTTCAATATTTGAGAAAAAGATACAGAACTGTATTGCTGACCTAAGAAGCTGAAGTTTTGAGCATTCAATCTTTTCCTCTAAAACTTTACAAAAAGCACAAAGAAAGTTTTAGCCATGGTGGAAAGGTAGGAGAAGTAACAGTTTCAGTCTTCTCAGCCATTTGAGATTTCTGCTACTCGGTGTGTATCCTACTGCCTATACCACAGAACCCTGGAACACACCAGGCAAAGTACACACACCCTTACAAGAACAAGGGTTCAGAAGCCATCATTTTATTCCAGGAATGAAAAGTAACAACTTCGTGATAAATTGTTCAGTGATAGCCCACAGAATTTCAGCACTACAGCTGTATTATTTGCATGTTTAAAAAAAAACTAAGCTAAAGACAAATAACTTTTCATTCAGATTTTTGCCATATTTCCTTTGTTCATTGTGCCCAAGAAATTACAGAGCTCATGTTAAGTTCTTTTAATAAAAGCATTTTGACCACTTGCAGACCACATGTAAAAATTAATGAAACTTTTAAAGCCCCGTCAAATCTATCAAATTGTGAAACTCCACATAAGACAACCCAAATACTTTTCTTGTCAAGAACAGCAGCATTAAAAACATGTAAATATAAATGCTGTGAACAAACGTAACTTTTATTTATCAATGCTTTTGTATTCATACCTATACAAATTTTACAACAGCTTTATGCTGATCGCATTTCCAAATAGAGCCTAGTGAAAATATTTTATCACCAAACAGTGAATTACTATTTCCAGTTAGCACTGATTAAATTTACCATGACAAACAAGTAACAATACTCAAAAAAACCCAAACAGACTGGCAGCAGCAGCTAGCCAAACTTTTCAGGTTTGCAATAGGAATGCATACACAGCAGGATCTAGTATAAAATTTGTATTAGACCACAGATCAGTTCATGTCTTTACTTACATTCTCAGAGGATTCACAATCTCTGTTCGCAACAGCTCTTGAGTCTCACTATAATACTCTACGTCATTCTTTTCTTTAGGTCTGAGTAACACAGTGTCCAAAACAGAGCTAAAAGAAAACAGGCTACAAAGAAAAACAGAAAAGGAAAACTGTTTTGATTCTGGAATATACAATCATTCCGATGCCTCAGCAACATAAGACAAACCAAGCAAAGCCACAGGAAGAATTAAAGAACTAAACAAACTCAAAAAGAGATAATTATGGACAGAGGACAACACAGCTGTACTAAATAGTAAAAGTCCACTCTAACCCAGTATCCTTTCTGCAGCAGAACACAAAACCCATTGCCAAGGTAGGATTCTACAAATAAGTTATATTTCCCTCCCTCCATCCCCCAGCCTGTGTACTCCTTCATCCTTCAACCATTTACACCCAAAAAGAGTATAGATACATAAGGGCCAGTACAATTTGGACATGATTAGCACTTTCATGTTATGCAGTGAATGCTGCAGAACTTGTTCAAATTTAAAGAGCATAGTAATGTGTCAAAGATTGCAGTGCGTGACTAAGTAAGCTGCACAGTAATACAGACAGACAGTCATTACAACAAAGATCACGTGTTCTGCATTTCTAGCATGGGATGCCACTATACAAATTATGAACTTACCAGAATAAGGTGGAGTCTAAGTAACAGGAGTTGTAATGACCCTGGATACCTTTCTTCTTTCCAATCATTGTCTCTAAACCTTCTTTTTCCATTTTTGGAGGAGTGTTTTCTTCTACCACTTCACTTAAGTAACCTCCAAAGGCTGAAATTTTTTTTTTCAAAAGACACTTTAAAGCCTCAAATTTTATCCCCCTTGAGATTTTCCTATTAATGTTTTATAGCTAAGTTGCTGCCTTAGAGTAAGCATTCCTCCTCTGGACTAGAATAGCATCTTATTATAGCTGAGACTCACTGTCTTCCAGAGAGCGAACAAGGCCTTACATTCCACTGACAATGCACATTAGAGTGCTTCAGAAAGCCTGCAGCACTGAATTAATTTTATCCAGTAGGAATGAAGTTCTCTTCCCATTATAAACGCCCTGTTCACACTATCTTACAAGTATCAGACACTTTCTTTGCTGTTGTCCCAGGCAATACAACATAACCCAAGAAATTTAAAATATTTGAAGTTAGAAAAAAAATTTGAGTTCCTCACCACTAACTTCCACCATAAAAATACATGCTTTTCTATGTTAAAATTTAGGAAAAAAAAATAATTTGACATTATAGAAAAATAACTGTCTTTATTTCTGATAATGCAGTCACATATTGCTGGAGTTGCAAATACCATTTTCAGCAAGATCGCTTTACAACTTCTAAAGTAAAAAATGTCCAGCATAACAAAAAATCCTGTAATTTTATTAAATTTCTTTAAATATATGAACATTTTCTTGGTTTAAAGCATAAAAAAGTAATCCATAGAAGCATTATGTTTGGTACAGACTGATCTTCTATTCATTAATCTAATTTAAATAATACCTGTACAGATTTTCAAGTGTTCAATACAAAGAACATATTGCAGGAATAAATGAAACCAAAACCCAGGTCAGTTCCCAGCTGATAAATAAGTAATAAGCAGAAGCTCAGTACCTAGAGAGTTGCAGCGTTCAATCTGGTTGGAAACGGGCTGTAGGGAGGCAAACCTGGAATCCGGCCTGCAGCTTTTGAGTTTAACAAAAAGAGCTTTCTTCGGAGCACAAGTGAAGTATCGAGTTCCTTTAAATGTTCCATCCGTACAACCTGCACATTCATCTTCCTGAAAATTCAAGACAGAATTCACTATTTTTCTTATTTCTAGAATTCTGCAGTAAGACATTTGATAAAGTATCTACCCATAAGTCACCCTTCGGGTACTCTGAAGTTTGATACACAATGTTCCTGCATTTTAGTATACAAAGCTTCAGCTGAGGTGTTCTTTAACTGGATTTATTGAGGAAATGAAGAGTCGCACTTTTTTCTTCATGCTGAAACTTTCACTCCATCCAAAATAAAACAAAAATTCCATCAGAAGCAGCTTGGGAGAGGTGGGAGAGGAGAGCGAGAATTAAACCTAGTCAACATTAGGAACTTAACTAAGCTAGCTAGTCACTTCAGATTCCTTCTGTAGTTAGAAAGAGCACACATGCACTACCGAGCATCTTTTAAAACTCAATTAAAACCACTAAGCATTGGGTAGTGTCAATATTTCTAGTGTGACTGTGGCCTGCACAGGAAAAATACCTGCTTCAGAACACACAAAATGTACATCAAGGAAAGACAACACAAACTAGGTATCAAAAATAACGAGTTATTATTATTTATCTTTGATAACATGATTTAAGGTATATGGTCTGCTTACTAACAATTGCTAGGTTTTAATGCAGAAATGCATGACAGGCAAGTCCAAGACCCCAGTTTAACACAAGGCATCCTAAGATGCAGTCTCAGAACACCTGTGGCAAACTATAGCTTGAGCTTCACCCAAAAAACCCACAAGCATCAGGATTTTTTGTAACAGCTAAAATTCCAGTCACATTCTCACCTACTTTGCTAAAGATGTTTGTTGTCTTACATACTTGTACACTGCTTTATCTGAAATTTTATTGAACATTATCCCAAAATAAAGAACCCCATCTCCCTAATTGTGTCCACATTAATTTAACTGACAGCCAATCACAACCTTGGCAGCAGCTGCCACAGAGTAAATGTCAGTACATAGCAGCAATTCATGTTTGCAGCAACTGAGAATTTACAAAGGGCCCATACGAACACATAAAGCACGTGGCTGTCAAATCAACAATATCACTACCATCGAATATCAAAACCAGTGTTATGACTCTGACAGTCATAACTCTGACGCTGCCTGTTTGCTGGTATGCAAAAAACAAACAAACAAAAAATTGACATTCAATAAAGACTCTTACAGCCAGGGCATTTTACGTAAATCTGCATTTCAAAGAACCTTTACATACGGTCGGCTTTTTTCAATTAAAATCTCCATGACATAAGCAAAGGGCACTCCTTTGAAGTAAGTGACCAGTCCTACAAATTCAATTACCCACTGTGACACAAAGACATCTCAGAGCCTATTAGCAGAGTAAGGTCTAGGGCAGCCACAAAAGTCAGGGCTCAAAAAATTTAGCTATGTTATAAGGGATCACATGGCAACCTGTTTGGACAAATTCCTCCAGACTGACTGCTTTCGCGAAGCATACTCTCGGAAACAAAACTAGTAACATGTAATTAATATTAATACGAACTACAATTTACATTTACCAGTTCCAGTCCTGCTAATACTTCATTTACTCCAGGGGGCTGGCCAATCCAGCGGATTACTCCATAGAAAGGAGGATTTTCTTTAACTTCAGCCAAGGAACCTGCTTCAAGACCATGTGAGTTCCCGACTGGGCCTGCTGTTGATGGACTCTCCTGGTTAGCCGTAGTATTTACATCACCAATGACTGACTGAACAGATAAAGAGAGAGGACTATGTCCAATAGTACCATTAGTACTTGATGTTTTTGTCAAGCTAAAAGGGAGGGAGTGAAATCTGTTTTCCGTAGACACAGAGTTTGTTAAAGGTGGCTGCAGCGGTGGTGAAGAATGCCCAAATCCGGGAGATGAATCAGTAAGTGATTTTGCAGGGTCTTCGGCAACTGTTAAAATCAAAACCAAGATGTTAGTAAATGTTGGGGTTTTTTTCCCCCATCTTACAAAACAAAAAACTTAGCTATCAAACAAACGAAGTGTATCTGCAACCACATCTGATTTAACGGGTGTCCTGTATAGGAAGCACTAACAGCTGGGGACTCGCAAGAAGATGTTTGTCACTTGGCAACACTGGAGAGACAGAACTGGCTGAGGAGATGCTGCTGTAGCCCTACCACTTTTACCACAACCAACGGAAACGAACAGCCCAGAGAAAGATGTTAACCAGAAACTACAGGAATGTTTAGATTGAGAACTTTTTTCTTTTTTTTACCCCCACATCGGAATTTTTCTTTGAATACAAGTTAACAGCCCCAAGGATTACGACTGTAATGGGCAAAACTAGGAAGAACTCATTGGTCAGTGTGATTGAGGAAAGGATTTGGTTCACAGCTTATAGAGAGATGAGTAATTGCTTGCAGACATGATTTGCAAATGGAAAAGTGTTTATTCCCCTGGCTCTATCACAATATACTTTGGTTCTAACACAAGGAATCTATCAGTGTCTATAAAGAATAAAGGATTTAAATAAGTCATGACTAATGCAGTGCTTGATAAATGAGATCACAACTACATGTAATAGCACAAGTGTTCTGTATCTTCTCTCATGTCTCTATGGGGTCTCTAATACACAATTGGTATTCACAGAGCAAAAACCCCTTCTTCATCACCTCTTCTCTCCATGCTGTCTTATTAACTGAAGTTAATGTCCAAAAATTTGAAAAAAAAATTATTTAATCCTTTACTTCCATAGTCCTTTCTAGATAGGATATTGACCTTGTTTATTTTAAATATTGTAATAAACTAATTTTTAAACAGAGCTCCAAGCTGTTCGAACAGCATCTGTTAGGCAACCAAGAACAATTTGAACCCATTTTCTTTTACTGTTCATGGAATTCAGGGGCTACTACTGCTATGGGTTTCCACTGTAAATTAACATTATTAGTTTAGTATTTACACCTTCAGTCACTAAGCCAGCCAGCCACACTTCAGAAAAGTTGACCAGGGGAAAAAAAAAATTAATTAAAAAAAATAAGTAGATCTGGAAGCAAATCAAGATATACTGATCCTTTGGGTACATGCACCCACACTTGTAAGAATGCAGAGGGACATTTTACAGAAATAACTTTTTAAAAGTACTGAAAAAACATGTATGCTTAGTCAGATTATGTTTTTTCCCCCTACTCACAGATGGATTAGCTGGCATGGCAAAATATTACATTTCTCTTAGATCTGTTACATTAGCTACAAAAAGACAGGCAAAATAAAATTACTCTATATACTTGGCTACAAGGCATATCTTCATATCTTCCCTCCAAGCCTCAGCTTTTATTTTGCCTGCAAGACATACACATTCCCACAGAGCTGCGCGTACATTGCCAGGAATGTAATCTCCTACATGCAGAATAAAACAACAGGTCTGTCAATTAAGACAGTATATTTTCATGGGGGTTCCAAGATGCTTTTTATGATACAGTATGTCTTCCACTAAGACAACATATTCCAACTGTTTTAAATTTAAACTCATATTTGTTTTATTTGAAGAACATCAATACACTCTTGTTTTGTTTTTTTAAATAAAGTGTATGCCTACATGAAAGAGTATCATCTCTCTTTACCTTCATCAATATACCATGGGGGTTTTGTTTTCGTCTGAGGCTGAGAGTCAACTGATGAGCCATTTAATGTGTAGAAGACTTCAGATCTGTTTCTATTTCCAGGTTCAGAGGTAGATCCTGGAAAACAACACGTTTTACTGAAGAGATTAATCTCTATTTACAAAAGGTTAGCTACGCTCTTCTTTCATAGTATGAATTTGTTACTGTACTTTGAAGAAGACATAACTGCCTTTCCACAAAGCTGCAAACTCTCCCAATGCTAACACAGTTCTAAGCTTGCAACAAGGTAGCAGTTAACTTAACTGCTTAATCCTCCAAGCTGAAATTTCAAGTCACCAACCTAAAAAGAAGGCAGAAAATACCCCTCAAGCACAAATTTTTCATTACTATAAATCATCGATATAAGAAAGCATTTGAGATACAGTGTACGGCAGGTATTTCTTCTTTGTGTTTAAAGCAAAAAAATTTCAGAGTAGGCAAATAAATTACCGATCCAATTCCACACAGCTATAACTTGTGCCAACATACAACCACAGTTACTTCAGTGAAGACCATCTCTGCCACAGAGATTACAGAATATGCTGTCATTAGTATTCTACAACCCAAAACAGCCACTAGTAAACTCAAAAGACACTGAATTTTTTATTTCTGCATTTAAAAAAAAAAAAAAAAATTTATTTCCCTTCCAGGTTTTTTTCCCTGGGAGGATTTTCAGAGCTGGCCAAAACCAGAGTCAAAAGAAGTTTATATTTCGGGAAATTCAATTTTGGTTTTGAATCACAGCAAAATTAACATATTCACTATTAAGTAGACCTGCTCCTGGGCTAAAAATTTGGAAGTTTCTAGCCCTGCAGAATGAAGAGAGCAGCAAACTATATTTATTAAAAAATAAAAAAAAACCCCAAAGCACACACCACACTTTCAGAAAAACAGAATGTAGCCCTGAACTGGTTATACTAGACAACTAGGTAATATGCTCTTGAATTTTTGCTAAATCTCAAACTGTTTTTCAGGAAAGTGAAGGTATCTTGAGCAGTCTTAACTTAAACTGTCTACCATCTTTATTATGATTAAATACATTCATACTAATACTCTACTTCAGAGAAATTTAACTTGATATGTAACTGAAATATTAAATGAAGTGATAGAAAATGCAAGGCAACACTTTTTCCCAAGCAACAGAAATTTGTAATCTTATTCAGGTAAAGAAAATCACTTCCCATACGTACCTGTAGCCTTTGGCTTACTATGATTGAACAAGCTTTTGTCACTGCCACCTCTTGAGGTATAGGCAAGCTTGGGAGGTCTCCTGTCCTGTGACACAGTCTCTAAGATGTGGTATATGAAGAGAATATTAGCTTCCCTTTTCTATGCTTTTACTACATAACAGAGAAGTTCAACTTGAAACCTAACTGAACCAAGGTCTAGCATCACAAGTCTTAAAAGTGAGTGCAGCAAAACCTTGTTTGGCACATAACCAACATTTTATGTATATAGGATTTGCTTCTATCACATCAGCAATTACTTTACTCTGAAATCTACCATTATTTCTTGAAAACATCAAATAGATTGACTTCACGTTCTTCAGTGTATGTGCATGCTTCCATTATGGGAAACAGATGCATGAAATTCTAAACTTAGTTTTCTACCAACACATTTACAACAAATGCTCTTTCCCCAAAAATGGAGAAGTCCCCATGAGTTCTCCAGAGAAGAGAGGAGAATTCATGCAAAAACATGTATCTCAACTAAACCAACAAGTAGGAGGTGAACATAAGAAAAGTTAGCCAAACTGAAGAGCGAGGGCAATGGTTACAGACTACGGCTGTACAAGACTGCACACTCATTAGCACCTGTCTTCAGACAGAGCACAAACAAAAGTTTTACATGAAACTTCTTTCTTTCTTCAGAAAAGGAATCAGGGGACTGTAGTGGTTACAAGTTAACACTATTCAGTGAATTACTGTGGATAGGGAATTTTTCCACAGTCTTGCTATAAATTTTCAAGTATTTACTCACAGAATGCATAAATAACACTATTAATACATTTCAAGCACAGAAAGAACAGCTTTCTGATCCAAGATATTTAAACTCCTAGAGTAAATTGAACAACATTCAATAAAAAGATTCCTGCTACAGACACTCACATATTCAGGAATACTATACAACTGTATAGTATTGTAAATACTATACAATTTTACATGAATTCTGTTCAATATTAAACCTTTTCTACTAGTGAGACTGTAACCAAAAAGGAGGAGGAAATTGAAGAGAAGTATAACACAGAAGGTTAAACTAATTCAAGTGAATTTAGGATATTAATTCCGCAGTATTATTTTAATCATATAACTGTGCCTAGGTTGAGACGTTATCAAAGTCTGCCTTCTGGTTAAGAAAGCAGAGCATACCTGGAATAACATCATTGATATGCAAAAGAAGTGTACTTTCAACACTTGCAAAACTGCACAGCTGTATTCCATTATATCTTCCATCCCAGTTTCCAATAGGATTATCCTAAAAATAGAAAAACATGTTACACGTCTCCCAAGAGAAGATTTACATTGTACAGAATACACACATATTACGTCTTTAGGAACGGAAAAAGTAGGAAAATGAAAGGTTTGACAACATCTACTTTTTCGTGTAACAAACTTTGTATTTCGAACAGTCAAACATTACAGTCTTTAAAGACAAACGCAAACTTATAAACTTTGTTCTTTTGAGAAATACTTTTAACAAGCATTCGTCTACTAAAATCCATTATTTATAAACAAGTTAGAACAATTCCAGTGCATTGTTAGGCAACAGCTACTGCAATCAAGGAAATGGAAGCACCTGATCTACAAAAACAAAACACTCTTTAACTACCAAAAATTTGAAAGCTGTTCATTTTAAAAAATTCAAGTTGCTAGAAATAATTTTTAATGACAAGCTTCACATTTTCTTGAAAGACCAACTTTTGTACTTAAAACTCAGTATTTTAAAGGTAGAACAAAGTCAAACAAACCAAACTTACATGAGAAAAAGCTTTTAAAAATAGCTAACAAAGAAAAAGGCATCCAGCCTACTTTTTTAAAAGGCAGAACAAAGCCAGTCTCACAAGACAAACACTCAACTCTATTACTTCAAGACTGACATCTAACATTGCAACTAGCTCAGTGGAGGCTCCTCAGAGTAACCAGAGTATTTCTCCTGAACTGTTTAGCATCAAATAGGATACCATTTACCTGATGCCAAAAAACAATTACCACCAAGGGGCATCTTTGGACACAAGTGTTTATTTCCCATTTTAAGTCAGCCTCCGCTGAAGTAGCTTGTGGATAATGTTTCTTCTTCTATATTGCATGTAATTTACTAACTAACACACATGCAAAAGTTATTAAAGTCATTTCTTACCATGTCCACTCCAACAACGTATCCTAAACTTTCGTTTCCTGGTAAGACATCACAGAATATAACTGTCCCATACTCTATACTCTCTCCTATCTTCAGAGAAACTCTGGAGTTGATCTCCAGAGGAGGAAGTTCTACCTGCATTGCGTCAACTGGAGCTGCATAGTCACTTTCCAGTTCATTGTCATCATCTTCCACCAGCTCCAGTTTGTCCAAAGCAACAAAAACCCCACAATCCTCATCACATCTGAAAAGCTGCTTGCCTTGGTACTGTCCATCAGTAAAGCCCTGACCACGACCTTCTTCCTAAGTGTCGGAGGAGATAGAAGAGGAGGGGAAAAAAAGAAAAGAGGGGAGGGGAAAAAAAAAAAAAAGCAGTGTATTTTGTGCAAAAGCAGACTACTACAAAAGCAGTAACATAATCCAGCGTTTTGGAGAAATTGCAGTACGAATTTGCCTGACGAACTATCATTATATTGGGAGAATTCTATTGCCGGAATTTATGGCAAATATACACACTGTCTATCTTAGGGGAATAAACAGTAAGATGTCATTAGATTAGAGAGTAGCTGCAGGCAGAAGCCTTTTTACTCAGAGAAGCATGTTTTCTTCAGGTGCAAATCTTGCTTCCATCATCAAATTTTTGCCACATCAATATAAGACTACTTCACACAAGACATAATGCTAAGCATCCAAAAATTCCACTTAGATGCCAAATAAAGAGAGCTGATTTTCAGAAGCACTTGGGCCTGATACTCCCTGAGGTTCTTAGTGGGAACTGCAAAGAATTTGGGAAAAGTTTAAACAGGACTTTGAAAAATATACTTCTACTGCAAGAGTGGCACTCTCCTGAATCTAATCTTTCAAAAGCTTATAGTTGACATTAAATTTGCAGAAATATCTTACTAGGAGCACACAACGGCAACATTCTCTACCTTAACTAGTTGCCATTTGACTTTCAGGGCTCTACAAAACCAGCAGCCCTAAAATCCAAGCCTGCATTTATGGATTATATCCTGCCACGTGCAGGGAAAAACAAAGTACTCAACAGAAATCTGAGAGTTGGATATTTGCCACGATGGGCATGTAAGTAATTAAATTTTTCTAGGCTGAAAGAGTCAGAGTATGTTCAAGTCTTTTTGGCAGCCTATGCACCTCATCAAGCTTCGCTTAACATGTAGAATACAAGGCCGATGTGATACAGTGTGTTCACAAGTACTTAAAAAAAATACTTGTAAAAAGACTGAAGGTTACAGAATTTTTAGGGGTAACGATGCTTCTAGAAAAAAAATTTACTATGACTGCCTCTTTAAATAGAAGATTTTTAGCTCATCTTATAAAATATATATGATGCTCCCCCTTAGCAAGAAACTTACCAGCAACTCTACTCCAAAGTATATCCCTGTTAGGGACCTTTCTTGCAATAAGGGTCCTCTGAAGCGAACAACTCCAGGAAATTTATCATCTCCTGATCTCAGCTGTACTCTAACAGGCGAGCCAATATCTATTTGGATGCCCTTAGTTAACCTGCTTTTGCTTTTAAACAGACTGTATCTTTCCTCACAGTTAGTAATGGCCAAAAGCAACTCAGCTAGTTTTTCATTTATTTCTATAACATCCTTCTCATCCACAAACAGAATTGCATGAGGTTGTTCCAGAATCTTTAATCCAATCTGCAGTTTCTTGCCTTTACAAGGAATATTTCTGGAATGTCCCACAGAAGAACGGTCTTGAAAAAACTGCCCAATGCTACCTTTGGGCACTTTCAAGAGCTTTTGAGTCTGCTTGTCTATGACACTGCATTCTTGGAGAAGCAAGTAAAATATCCGCTTTTTTCCCAATAGGAGGAACTTGCTTTTTCTTGACTCCATAAGCCCGAATTCATTGTGCTTAAAACTTTAAACGCTGCACAGAAGTCTTCGAGAAAAATAAGCTGTTGATTTATGCACACTGATCTTGACAAATTCTACTGGAAGGTCCAACCTTTGTGAAACAATGCAATATTCATTTTGCAAAGAAACAAATCCAGAGCAGAAAGCCTAGAATAAAAAAAAAAAAAAAAAAAGAAAAAAAAGGCAAAATTAAATTGGGGAACTACAGCTAGTCTTAAGTAAAAAAAAACAGAAAATCATTTAAATCTGTGACCAGCCCTACTCCTTCTACAGAGTAAAAATAGTTCAGCAAAATCTGAGACAGTGAACGTAGTCTCAATAGTACTGTTGATCACAGACATACCCATTTCTACTTGTTATTGCTGTGTATTCTCTAGTTCCTTGAAGCAAGAGGCTATGGAAAAAGTGTAATGAAATGCAGAAAACACACATAAGTGAAAGGATAAAGAAATCTTAATTTCAGATGAAGAGGAATAAATATCCTGCTCAAGTTTACAAACAGTATTTTATGGAAGCTTTCCACTATGAAGATCTTTTCCCATGCTTAGTGACTACTCATTTCTCATGAAGTGTACTGCATCTGTCATCCCGCATAACATTTTGATTTAGTGAAGCAGAAAATTGTGTCAATGTAACAGAGCAACATAAAATGGAAACTTCAGTAATTTATAACAGCCATTTCTTTTAATAGTAGAAATGGACACTTCCAGTAAGCAATAAACAACGTATGAAAAACAAATTGTGCCAGCATTGCAACATGCGATTCTGAAGAAAAACCTGAATGCTTTTCTTTTTATCATTTTAGAAAGATAATTCACTTCAAGGACGTAGGAAATATATCACTTCCAGTTATTAAAATACCCTGGAAGAAAACACCTTAGTTAAACATCATTCTAAGAATTATAGTTCACAATGAATAAACTAAAAAAGAACAATTTGAAAATACTTCATTGCACATGGTAGCAGATACAAAAGTAAACTACATACACACATATATATATATGTTTACAGTTTAGATCATACTGGATACATGAAGAAAGATCCGCAGTATCTTAACAGGATTTGTTTTTCTTCTAAAGATGACAGAAAAGGGTAGCACACAAGTTAAGAATATACTGTCATGTAACTTTTCCTGTTAGTAATCTGTAATGCCACAGTTTGCATTCAGTTAAAATGATTATTTATGGATTTACCTTCAGTAAATAAAAAACAAATACTCTTTGTCCTTTGCTACTCTATCCCTCCAGATCTTTTCTTTGATGGCATTCAAATACCATAAAATCTATTGCTATTTCTCTACTCAGTTTGATCCCAGCCTCAGAAGCTATCAGAAAGCAATGGAATCCAGTAGTACTGTAATTATTTTCATCATCTGTTTTTAAACAAAAAGAGTATTTTTCCCCCAAAGAAGAGTAATAACAACCACAGAGGACCTGAAATTTATGCAAAGTAGCATCTTTCAGTCACTAGGAATTCACACATTTCTGTGCTGACTTGCTGAGCCTCCTAGTGAGGCTCTTGTACCATACAGCCATTCAAACTCCGAGTATAGCATGCTTCTCCTCTTCACAGATGTTACACATGGGTGTCAATGTCATCATCACACTTTGGCACCGCTGCTGCAGCAGCTCACAGGAATTATGTGGTTTAAAGTGTTGCCATCTGCAAAGTAATTAACATCTGAGGGACAGAATCTGGACAGTTTCAGACCTCACTAAGATAAAGTCTCAGAGACTGTCAATCTGTTTTCAAGTTAAAAAATATTTTTCTTCATTTTCATTTTATATACATCAATGGGCTTTAATGTTTGTTGATGATTACAAAAAAGTCTGATATCACTATCGGACTGAAATAGTAATGTTTTATATGGGAACTGATGAAGAACACAACAGCATCTTCCCCCCTTCCCCCCAAAAGGAAACACGATTAAATGACCGTTAATTTTTAGAAGTCTACTCAGATATTAAAATAGAGTTCCAGCCAAGCTCTGTCTAGTTCCCTCCCCTTACTTTTTCCAAACACTGGGAAAAAAATAGATACTGTTTTGTTCTTTGTAGTTCCATTTTATGTCCTCAGCTTTCAAACTTTCCTTTTTGCGAGCCATTCCACAAAGTTAATCAACCCCCAATACACTGCAAACAAGTATCTCTGACATTACAGGGATCATGACCTTTCCTATTTCACTTCTAGAAATAATTCATTTTAATTTTAATAAGCATGTATGGAACAGATAATTCTGTTCAACAGCTTTAAAAAAAGTAATTTTTAATTTTTATTAAAAATATTATTTATCTATTTTTTAATAAGCATACCCTGCTTGCAGGTCCATTGCTGCAATGTTGCATAATCTTCACATGTTTAGTAGTAAAGAATTCAGTGTGAAAACATGTTAACAGCTGTATTTAGATTATATAATAGTAACTATATATGGTGCATGGTCAGCCTTTCAAAGTTCTAGTCATCCGCAGAGATGTTATTAAGCCACTGAATACAGTACCAAAAGGTTTTCCATTATGAAAAAGTTCATTATCACCATATAAAATGCCTTCCTTTAAAAACTCATCTACCACCATTGTCCCCTGCCAAAGAAAATATACAACTGTAAATATCAAATCCCCTTCTTTTAGAATAATAAAAATGATAAATTAGTATTTTAACAGCACAGAAAAGCTTGCGAAAAAGGATGTTAAGTTCTGGCAATATACCAGAAATACATGTACATAAACCACTGATTTTAGGATTTTTTTTTTTACAGCCATTTTCCATGGAATTGATTATTCTGCGAGTAAGGTATACTTGCTGAACAAACAGCACACACGTATCGGACTAGGACCAGAATAAACTACTAGACCTCAGTATGAATTAACTTGGGAACCGAACAAATTGTGCTTAGAAATGAGTCATCATTACACAGCACAACATACCAGCAACTATAAAACTTTGTGCCTACCAGAAAGAACTTGACCATCACCACAGAGGTTTAAGTGTCAGAGCCTGTTCAATTGCATTCTTCTACTCCACCTACTACCGGAATTATTTTCATGCTCAAAGGATTTTGGGAGGCAACAGGCAAGACACAGTTATGACTGCAACACTACATACTTTGGGAAAAAAAAATATTAAAAAAAATGTCAGAGGTAGGTCATAATAAGCTACCTGGCTTCAAAGCTTCCCTAACTTCCTTTTTTTCCCCTGTCTTGAGTCACTGTTGTCACTACAGAGACATCTCATCATAAAAACAGTTTGCTCTGAAACATGAGAACTTTCTTTCTACCCTGCAGTAGCCTTAGATGAAGTATACAGAGATGTTTGAATCAGCTATCAGGTTTCAGCATGAACACACAAGTCTGTAGCTCTGATTCAGAGTATAAAATGAAGAGGCTAAAATAAACTGTACGGTTTCTTACAGAACTTTCATTTTAAATACCGAGTTTTAAACAGCTGAGATACAATGTTCTTCAACAGTTCAGAAATCATTTTCAAAAGAAGGTTAAAACTAGTAGCAAGTAAATTTAGTTGCAGCTCAACGTACACAGAATTACATGACTGCAATACAGGCCATGAGTGGAAAAAATAGAAATTGTTTTTTCAAAATAGCGGTTGAAATTGCCTGATACAAATAAGTTCATACTGGTAACATGATTTCTGAAAGAAAATGCAACTGAAAAACTCCACTAAATTTTGTTAGGTGTTATAAATTTAATACAAATATTCTACTTTAGAGGAAGAACAAAAATCATTATCAACTATCAGAATACTCTGGCATTACTAGATTTGGCAAGTATACAGCAATACACCATCATCACTGTTCTGCATACAACCCTTCTGTCAACATGATATGCAAGTCCTCTCAATAAAATGAAATGTGTATGTTCAGATTTTGAAATGAAAATCAAATCGTATTTAACTTTGCTCAGTAACGAATATTTAATGCAAGAGTGATGGATCTGTTTACTGCCTAGCAAGGTAAGATGTGACATACAATGTACTTGCAAGTCACAAGGCTCGATACAAGGCTAAGTTTTTGAGAATAATTATTTCCCGCCCCCCCCCAATTTTGAGAATTTTCTCTACCTCTCTGGGCGGTTATGAGCAGGACAGGGAAGGAAAGCCCCGAAACACTTGTTAAGTCGGAGCAACGGGCTTAACGCTGAACAACAGCAAACGCACAGCTGGGCCCAAGCTCGGCGCCCCCGCACAGCCCTGACGGGAGCTACCGCCACC